CCCCGTGCCGCACTGTGCCATCACCCTCACCGAGCCTGCCGGCTGAGCCCACCCTGCCCACTGGAGTCCCCCCCCCCCACATTCACTTCTGGAGGAGGAGGAGGAGATTGGATTTATACCCCACTCTTCATTCAGAGTCTCAGAGCGGCTTACAAACTCCGCTCCCTTCCCCTCCCCACAACACCCTGTGAGGTAGAAGAAGAAGACGAGGAGATTGGATTTATACCCCACCCTTCACTACCCAAAGGTGTCTCAGAGCGGCTTACAAACTCTGCTCCCTTCCCCCTCCCCACAACAGACACCCTGAAGGTAGGCGGGGCTGAGAGAGCTCTGACAGAAACGACTCTTTTTTCAAGAACAGCTGTGACAGAACGATGGCTTGCCCAAGGCCATCCAGCAGGTGCGAGTGGAGGAGTGGGGAATCAAACCCGGTTCTCCCAGATTAGAGTCCCCGTGCACTTAACCACTGCACCAAACTGGCTCTCCGGCTAGCCCTGCCCTCCAGTCCTACGCCGCAAGGTGGGGCACTGCCAGACGGGGCACGGGAAAGAAGCAAAGTGGTGGCAGTGGCAGCCGTGGGGGCATCAGTCCAGTACACACACACCCCGTCCTAAGAACATAAGAGACGCCAATGTTGGATCAGGCCAATGGCCCATCCAGTCCAGCACTCTGTGTCACACAGTGGCCAGAAATACCAGGTGCCATCAGGAGGTCCACCCTGGTCAATATCTGGATGGGAGGTCACCACCAAAGAGGTCCAGGGTCACTATGCAGAGGTAGGCAATGGGAAACCACCCCTGAATGTCTCTTGCCTTGAAAACCCCACCAGGGGTTGCCATAAGTCAGATGTGACTTGACAGCAAAAAAAAACAAACAAACCCAAAGGTGCTACTGGAAGTGGCCCATCCAGTCCAACACTCTGTGTCACACAGTGGGCAAAAACACCAGGTGCCATCAGGAGGTCCACCAGTGGTGCCAGGACACTAGAAGCCCTCCCACTTTCCCCCCCCCCCAAGCACCAGGAAGACAGAGCATCCCTTGCCCCAGACAGAGAGTTCCTAAGAACATAAGAGAAGCCAATGTTGGTTCAGGCCAATGGCCCATCCAGTCCAATACTCTGTGTCACACAGTGGCCAGAAATACCAGGTGCCATCCAGAGGTCCACCAGTGGGGCCAGGACATTAGAAGCCCTCCCGCTGTTGACCCCCCCTCCAAGCACCAAGAAGACAGAGCATCCCTTGCCCCAGAGCCCCTATCTATACCTTGTGGCTAATAGCCACTGATGGACCTCTTGTCCTCGCCTGCTCTTGAGGAAAGCTCCGTGGTCCCTCCGTCTGTCCTCTGCCCCTTCTGAGCCAAGGGAAAGCTGCAGGGCCCCTTGGCCCGACTGCAGAAGAGCAGCCCTTCCTGCCACCTCACTAACCCCCCCCCCCCCGTGTTGCCGCTGCTTGTTGGGGTGAGCCCAATGGCCCCCTGTTGCCCCCTTCCAGTTTGGTGTTGTGGTGAAGTGCGCGGACTCTGATCTGGGAGAACCGGCTTTGATTCCCCACTCCTCCGCTTGCAGCTGCTGGATGACCTTGGGCAAGCCGTAGTTCTGATAAGAGCTGTTCTTTCAAGAGCAGTTTCTGTCAAGAGCTCTCTCAGCCCCGCCTACCTCACAGGGTGTCTGTTGTGGGGAGGGGAAGGGAAAGGTGTTGGTAAGCTGCTCTGAGACTCTGAGTGAAGCACGAGGTATAAATCCAATCTCCTCCTCCTCCTCCTCTTCTTCTCCTTCCTTGCACCGGCTCCTGGCTGCCTGCTTTTTCTCAGGGCTTTGGCGGCTCCACTGTGCACGGCGGCAGCAGCAGGTTCGTCTGCTTCACCCCGGGGGGTGGGTGGGAGGTGCCCCAGACTTATTTAAAGGAACTCCAGATTTTAAAAAATCCAGGCTACCGGCCTGTATGTGAGAGGGATCCCTTCCCGGATCTTCCCAGGGAATGCACGACCTCCGCTCTGAGCTTCCACCCATCTTTAGCACCCTGCCTGTTATTATGCCGTCTGGTCCGGCACCACCGGGCGGAACTTTTTTTGGCGGAATTGGTTGAATCTCCTTCTGACGAACTTGTGTTTCTCCTTCCTCAGGGCTTGAAGTGGGGAATTCCCTCCTCCTTTCTTCTTAGTCGCGGCAGCTGTTCTGGAGCATAAATATCTGGCCAGCGTGATCACCCTTTCTGAGTTCCCAGGGATGTGGGAAAACACTATTAAAGAACAGTGTATGTCTTGTTCATATTGAACGACAAATGAAAAACGAATAAAATCTCATGGGTGTGTGTCTTTTCCTCTCCGCCTTGATTCAAGCGAAATATTTGCAGAACTTTTGAGTTAAAAACTGAATACGGGCTGAACTTAAAGCGCATGTTAAAATTATTATTTTTTCCCTTTGTCTTTCTATCTAAAAATGGTCTTAAAGATGGACCGTCCTCTCCCTCTGCTTCAGTTGTTTCATGATCAGAGGGTGTCTTGACGGGAGTCAGCCCAAGTCACACGTCTATTCGTGGTCATACTAGGTGAACACCATTTACAGACTCTGTTCTTAGTTTCACGTGTTTTTCTCTCATAACCTTTAAGCTCTTCCTCCAAATCTTCGATACGTGCTTCAAAAGTGTCTTGGGACATGGATGTTTTAAGTCTGTCCTCTGTGTTTATGATGTCAGTTTTAAGAGACTCAGTTTCTATAGAACTATGATTAGAAATTGTTTATATGTTTAAAATGTTATGAATATTTGTAACCGCATTGTTGTACCCTCTGGTAATTATTGAGTTAATGTTTTAATACAGTTATCATTGGTCCTTCTCTGATGAAGACCTTGGAAATGAACGCATTGCCCGGAAACTTCGTTAGAATAAGTTTCCTTTTGGACCTCTTCTGTAACTTGTATTTTGCACCTTTAGGATTCTATTAAAATTTTGTATAGTATAGACGGATATGCCTATGGAAATGCTTAAAAATTAGTACTGCATTTTGGACACAGCTAAGTTTCCAGTCTTCAAGGGCAACCCCGTGCAAAGTGGATGTGTGCAGTCTCCTTATATTCAGACTAGTATGATATGCTAGTGATGGCCGCAGGAATAAACAATTGTAAAAGGAGATTCGATAGATTCGTGGAGAATAGGTCTGTCAATGGCTACTAGCCACTGAGACTGAGGGGGAACCTCCATATTTAGAGGCACTGATCCTCTGAATCCCAGAGCCAGGAGGCAACATCAGGGGAAGGCCTCGGCCTCTCTGCCCTGTTGTTGGCTCTCCGGAGAAACTGGTTGGCCCCTGTGTGAGACAGGAGGCTGGACTAGATGGACCCTCACTGGTATGATCTAGCAGGGTTCTTATGTTCTTACTGTGCTAGGATAAGCTTTAACAGTTGAACCTCCAAATTCAGAGGCAATCAACCTATGAATCCCAGAGTCAGGAGGAGGCAACTACAGGGGAAGGTCTCAGCCTCTCTGCCCTGTTGCTGGCCCTCCAGAGGAACCGGTTGGCCACTGTGTGAGACAGGAGGCTGGACTAGATGGACTATTGGTCTGATCCTGCTGGGCTCTTCTGATGTTCTTATGAAGGCCTCATTACAAAGGCCAGCTGGGTCACAACAAGATCCAACTCTGGGAGTGATCAGCTGAGCATGGGCAGGGGGAAGATAGAGAGATCTGTGTTTCTAGATAGGTCAAATGTAAATTCTAGAGTGAAGTGAGATACGCAGCTACAAAGAGAAGGCAGAAGTGAAAAAGGTGGAGTATGCAAGACATTAGAAGCTGTAGGAAGGTAGGAATGGCAGACCCTACTATTAAGGCTCAGGGGGGGGGGGGTACATTGGTCTTGAATTTGTTAAGGAATTCTTATCCCGAGATTTCACATTGGGTTCTCTCTTTGAGGTTCCTTTTTAAGAGGCCAGTCACACTCTCGGCTTCTCAGTGTTGTTGTGAGGATGAAATGCAGGAGGGAGGTGATGTCGCAAGCCACTTTGGGCCCCGATTAGGGAGAAAAGTGGAGCAGAAACCAGATAAAGAATCCCCTTGTGACGGTCAGGGAGCAGACTCCTCGCCCTGAATGCTACCGGGTGGGCTTTGGGGAAAGTAAGGCGCTCCCGGGATTCTTCCGAGGGTACCACTAAATGCCTCCCCGGGTTTCTGCCTGTCTCCCCAGTAAACCCAACCCAGTTCCAAGGTGCTCACTCTCGAGTCAGTGCGTAGGGGGCTGGATCCTATGGGTCGATGCCCCTCCCGGGGTCGCGGTAGTGGTTTTCCTATCTGGGAAGCTGAAGACCTCCTCTGGCCTGGGAAAAGGCTCCCGGCTTCGAAGGGCCCGGGGTCGGATCCTGGTGGGGGGGGCACTCCCAGGGCGCGCACACACCGCACTGGAAGGCCAAATGACTGGACTTGCCCGTGGGGGGGGGGAGACCTAGTGGAGCCACGAATGGGCGGGCTTTGCCATGCAACCAGTGTTGCAGTATAAGCTGAGTTAGTGTGAGCCGGCTCATCCGGCTCACACATTTTTGTCTTCTATGTATCCATCTCCAACGTGCGCGGCTAGGTCTCCACTAGGTCTCCACGTGGTCATGCCAAGCGACCAAGCTTCGCTCTCAGGAACAATGGGCCAACGCACCAATAGGAAGCCGCGAGCCCATGGAACTCTCGGCCACTATAATGACCAATCACTTGTGTGTGGGTCAGGTATTTGGGGTGTGGGATTGTTGCACCTATAAACCCGCCTGCCAGCCCTTTCGAGTTGTCTTGTTGAGAAGTGCTTGCCCACTCCAGAACCACTGATTTCAGGAGGGGTGTTGAAAGACCTGAGTCAGATTGAGGTGACGAGAGAGGAGGTCCTAAAACTGATAGACAACTTAAAAACTGAAAAATCACCAGGCCCAGATGGCATACATCCGAGAGTTCTGAAAGAACTCAAATGTGAACTTGTAGATCTCCTGACAAAGATATGTAATCTTTCCTTAAAATCTGCCTCCATTCCTGAGGATTGGAAGGTAGCAAATGTCACTCCCATCTTTAAAAAGGGTTCCAGAGGAGATCCGGGAAATTACAGGCCAATCAGTCTGACGTCGATACCGGGTAAATTGGTGGAAACCATTATTAAGGAAAGAATTAGTAGGCACATAGATGAACAAAACCTATTGAGGCAGACTCAGCACGGTTTCTGTAAGGGAAGATCTTGTCTCACTAACCTGTTAGTGTTCTTTGAGGGGGTGAACAAACATGTGGACAAGGGGGATCCAATAGATATTATTTACCTTGACTTCCAGAAAGCTTTTGATAAAGTTCCTCATCAAAGGCTCCTAAGTAAGCTCAAAAATCATGGGATAGAAGGACAAGTCCTTTTATGGATCAAAAACTGGCTAGTTCATAGAAAACAGAGAGTGAGTGTAGGTGGGCAATTTTCTCAGTGGAGGGTGGTAAGCAGTGGGGTACCGCAGGGATCAGTACTTGGTCCACTGCTTTTTAACTTGTTCATTAATGATTTGGAGATGGGAGTAAGCAGTGAAGTGGCTAAATTTGCGGATGATACAAAGTTGTTCAGGGTGGTGAAAACCAGTGAGGATTGTGAGGCACTCCAAGGGGATCTGTCAAGGATGGGCGAGTGGGCGTCAACATGGCAAATGGGGTTCAATGTGGCCAAGTGCAAGGTGATGCACATTGGAGCCAAAAATCCTAAATATAAATACACATTGATGGGGTCTGAACTGGCAGAGACTGAGCAAGAGAGAGATCTTGGAGTTGTAGTGGATAACTCACTGAAAATGTCGAGACAGTGTGTGACTGCAATAAAGAAGGCCAATGCTATGCTGGGGATTATTAGGAAGGGTATTGAAAACAGATCAGCCAATATAATAATGCCCCTATATAAATCAATGGTGAGACCTCATTTGGAATACTGTGTGCAGTTCTGGGCACCACACCTTAAAAAGGATATTATAGCTTTGGAAAAAGTGCAGAAAAGGGCAACTCGAATGATAAAAGGGTTGGAACACTTTCCCTATGAGGAAAGGTTAAAGCGCTTAGGGCTCTTTAGCTTGGAGAAAAGACGACTGAGGGGTGACATGATCGAGGTTTATAAGATTATGCATGGGAAAGAGCAGGTAAAGAAAGAGGTACTTTTCTCCCTTTCTCACAATACAAGAACTCGTGGGCACTCCATGAAACTGCAGAGCGGTCGGGTTAGAACGGATAAAAGGAAGTACTTCTTCACCCAAAGAGTGATTAACACATGGAATTCACTGCCACAGGAAGTGGTGGGTGCTACAAGCATGGACGGCTTCAAAAGGGAATTAGATAAGCATATGGAGCAGAGGTCCATCAGTGGCTATTAGCCACAAGGTATAGCTAGGGGCTCTGGGGCAAGTGATGCTCTGTCTTCTTGGTGCTTGGGGGGGGGGTCAACAGTGGGAGGGCTTCTAATGTCCTGGCCCCACTGCTGGACCTCCTGATGGCACTGGTATTTCTGGCCACTGTGTGACACAGAGTGTTGGACTGGATGGGCCTTTGGCCTGATCCAACATTGGCGTCTCTTATGTTCTTATGTTCCGAACTAAAAAAAGGTATGAGAGCTGAAATCCCTAGTAAGCCTCAGTACTTTTCACTCAGGAAGGAGGGCTCCAGAGCCGACTGATCTATTGCAGCAGCCAAATCTCCTGCTCACAACTCGAAGGCCAGTTGCTCACGAAGTGGAATTTCTGCTCACAAGACCCCACAGCTTAGAGGAAGCATTGAATGCAACCCTCCCCCCCCCCCCCTTCTCCCCCAGCAGGTGGAGGAAGAAGCGGGACCCACAGCCTCCCTCCGAAGGGGGGGGGGCGGAGAGAGAAGCCCCACCCCCTCGGGGCAGGGGATTCCCAAAAGGGAACTTTCTGCTTTGCTTCCCACCGTCTGCGGCGGCTCAAGAGGGACCTTCCCCCCCCCCCCGCCCCCTTGATGGCCCGGCGTCGTTTCTGCTTTCCCGCCCGGAGCATCTTTCCCCCGAGGGCGCGGCACCAGCGATGAGCGTCCCCCGACGGCTCCTGCTGCTCTTCCTAGGGGGAGTCGCCCAAATGCTGGGCGGGGGCAGATCGGGTGAGTGGGGGGGACCCTCGGGGGCTCGGCTTCTGCGGTGGGCCGGGAGGGAGAAGAGGGGGCCCAACCAACGCGCCTCTCCAGCCCCTTTGCGCGTCGAGGGACCCCCAGCGCGGCGCTCCCCCCGGCCCCCGCTCCCTTCTCCTGGTCGCCTCTCCCTCCCGTCCTTCTCCGGCTGCTTTCCGGACTGGATCGTCCACCGATGTCCCGTCCCCGCCTCGAGTCGAGCGTGGCCGGAGGCCGTCCAGGGGCTCCGGGACTCCTCCTACTCCGAGGGCATCAGCAGCGCTCGGAGCGGAGGCCCAGGAGACAAGCGGGCATCCAACGCCAACCCCCGCCTCCCCCCCCCCTTCCCCCGGCATCCCTGCAAGCGAAGGGACGGGCGCCCTCGTGGCTCTTGCAAGGCAGAAATCCTGACCAGGCGCTGGAAAGCGGGGCGAGGGCGAGGGTTGAGCAGAAACTCCCTCCTGGCCAAATGCTCCCTCTAAGCTGCGGAGTCTTGTGAGCAAAAATGCCACTGGCATTAATGCTGTGAGCCAGCGATTTGGCTGCTGCCTCGACAGGGCCGGCTAGCTCACTAAGCGAACTAGGCGCTCGCCTAGAGCGGGCTGGCCCTTAGGGGCCCAAACTCACCCCGCCACCCCTCCAAAAGCCCTGCATAGTAGTTAGGACCACAGAAATGTCTTCGGACAGCGCTGGCTCTTCGGCTTTGAAACCGGAGATGAGTGCCAGAACCCAAGAGTGGGATTCCACTGGCTTTCGAGCAAGGGAAACTTTACCTTTACTATCTGGCCTTCCAGGGAACAGGCAGGGTTGATTTCTTTTAGGACTGACTGATTCAGTTCTCCGTGAAGTCCAAGGGACTCTCAACCAATGCTCCCTCTAAGCTGAGAAGTCTTGCGAGCAAAAATTCTACCTTGAGCTACTGGCATTAAAGAGTTGTGAGCGAGCCATTCGGCGACTGCATCAGTTAGTTTGCTCTGGAGCCCTCCTTCCTGAGCGAAGACAAAAATCTGTGAGCTGGAAGCTAAAAAAACTGTGAGCTAGCTCACACTCACTCATCTTAGGGGGAACACTGCCTCTCAAGAGTCTTCTCCGGCACCATAATTCAAAAGCATGTATTCTTCGGCACGCGGCCTTCCTTATAGTCCAATTCTCACAGCCATACAGTACTACTGGGAATACCATTGCTTTGACCATGCGGACTTTTGTTGGCAGGGTGACGTCTCTAGTTTTTATGAAACTGAAAAAGGAGACCCCTGATTGGCTGGCAGAAATCCGGACCTGGGCCTCGGGCAACCTGGAGGGATTACCTGGGTGAACCAGTGGCAACCAAGAGAGTTGCGTTCTGCATGTGGAAAGATGGTGATAACCATGGAAGGCAGCCAAAGTCTGGCCGGAGGGGCCCAGAAAGGCTGTTGCACGCATCTGCCTAGCAAATCCCCAAAGTTTCAACCAGAAAGGACACCCCCCCTCCCAAAAAACCCCCTTCAAACCACCTTCTTTTCCCTTAAGAAATTAGGGAGGGTTATTGGTTGGTTCCAAGGCAGCAGAGCAAATGAACCTGTATACAAGCAGGGATCGGGCCAATACTCCCTCTAAGCTGTGGAGTCTTGTGAGGAAAAACTCTACTTTGTGAGCTACTCGTTTGCTCTGGAGCCCTCCTTCCTGAGCGGAGACAAAAATGCGTGTGGCGGAGGATAAAAACTGTGAGCTGCCTCACACTAAATTCAGCTTAGAGGGAACACTGCCCCAGGCCCGAAATCCCCTTCCCTCTCACAAGTCATAAGAGAGAGAGAAAAATAGATGCCTCTTTTATGTATCAGAATCGTCACCCAACCCCCACCCAGTCAAATGATTCTGTTCTCTTCTAGAGTCAGCAGTGAGAGTGTCGGGCTAGGTAGGGTCTGCGAGAGCTGGGTTCAGATCCTCACTGGACCACCCAAGTTTGTGAGGTAACCGTGTGCCAGTCACACCCTCCCTGGATGCTCACCTGCTTCCTTTGCCCAATCCTTCCCTGCTTCTTGAGAGTCAGTTTGGTGTAGCGGTTAAGTGCACGGACTCTAATCTGGGAGAACCGGGTTTGATTCCCCACTCCTCCACTTGCAGCTGCTGGTGTGACCTTGGGTCAGTCGCAGTTCTCTCAAGAGCAGTTCTCAAAAGAGCTCTCTCAGCCCCACCTACCACATGGGGGTAGGGGAAGGGAAAGGAGTTTGTAAGCCGCTCTGAGACTCCATCAGGTAGTGAAAGGCATGGTATAAATCCAATCTCTTCTTCTTCTTCCTTCCCCCCCCCCTTTCAGGAGGCAGCAGCAGGAAGGGTGATGGAGTCCAGTGTTCCCTCTAAGCTGAGTTGGTGTGAGCTAACTCACAGTTTTTTTAGCCTCCGGCTCACACATTTTTGTCTTTGCTCAGGAAGGACGAGCTCCAGAGCAAACTAATTTATTCAGGAGCCAAATCGCTCGCTCACAGCTTTAATGCCGGCAGCTCACAAAGCAGAATTTTTGCTCACAAGGCTCCACAGTTTAGAGCAGTGGTGGCGAACCTATGGGACAGGTGCCAGAGGTGGCACTCAGAGCCCTCTCTGTGGGCATGCGTGCCATCGCCCCAGCCAGGCCCAGACCGTCATTAAAGTGTCGAATTCTCTGCCAAATAATTTTAAGTAAATGAAAGCATTTGGGATTGCTTTCCTTACTTTGTTTGGATCATCTTAAGTTAATGTATGAGTTGTTTTTTCTAAAGTAAAACCTCAGTATTCAGGTTAAATTGCCGTGTTGGCACTTTGCGATAAATAAGTGGGTTTTGGGTCACAGTTTGGGCACTCGGTCTCTAAAAGGTTCACCATCACTGGCTTAGAGGGAGCATTGTGGAGTCCTTTTCTGAAGTTACACCAGAAGTGGGGAGATGACTCCCTCTGGTGGCTTGGCTCACCAACTCTCCCCATCTCCTCAGTTTTCCTTCCCCCTTTAAGCATCTTCACTTTGTCATTAGGCTGTATTTTGTTTTGGGTTAGCAGGAATATTTTCCAAGGATTCTGCCCCCCCCCCCCCCCGGGGGCCCCCTCACCTCTCTCAGGAGCCAGTTTGGCGTTGTGGTGAAGTGCGCGGACTCTAATCCGGGAAAACTGGGTTGGATTCCCCCACTCCTCCACATGCACCTGACTGGATGACCTTGGGCAAGCCGTAGTTCTGATAAGAACTGTTCTTGAAAAAGAGCCGTTTCTGTCAAGACCTCTCTCAGCCCCAACTACCTCACAGGGGGTCTGTTGTGGGGAGGGGAAAGGAAAGGAGTTTGTAAGCCGCTCTGAGACACCTTTGGGTAGTGAAGAGCGGGGTATAAATCCAATCTCTTTTTCTCTTCTTCTTCTTCTTCTCATCCAGATCATTTATAAAAATATTGAAAAGTACCAGGCCCAGAACCGAGCCCTGTGGCACCCCACTGGACACCTCCAACCATTCAGAGGAAATGCCACTGACAACTACTCTCTGTGTGCGGTCCTCCAGCCAGTTCCCCATCCACCTAACTATCCTACAGTCCAGTCCACAGTCGTCTAGTTTACCCATCAGAACATCATGGGGAACCCTGTCAAAAGCTTTACAGAAATCTAGGTTACCAACATCAACAGCATTCCCTCGATCCAGAAAGCTTGTCACTCAATCAAAGAAGGAAATGAGGTTGAGCCTCGTTCTCCCTCCTCCCTCACTTGTAAGCTTGTAAGCATACTCCCTCTAAGCTGTGGAGTCTTGTGAGCAAAAATTCTACTTTGTGAGCTCCTGGCATTAAAGTTGTGAGTGAGTGATTGGGCGGCTGCATAAATTAGTTTGCTCTGGAGCCCTCCTTCCTGAGCTAAGTTTGGTGTAGTGGTTAAGTGCTTGGACTCTAATCTGGGAGAACCGGGTTTGATTCCTCACTCCTCCACTTGCACCTGGCTGGATGACCTTGGGCAAGCCATAGTCTTGTCAGAGCTGTTCTTGAAAAAGAGCAGTTTCTGTCAGAGCTCTCTCAGCCCCACCAACCTCACGGGGTGTCTGTTGTGGGGAGGGGAAGGGAAAGGAGTTTGTGAGCCGCTCTAGTGAAGGGTGGGGTATAAATCCAATCTCTTCTCTCTCTCTCTTCTTCCAAGACAAAAATGTATGAGCCAGAGGCTAAAAAACTGTGAGCTAGCTCACACTAACTCAGCGTAGAGGGAACACTGCTTGTAGGCAAATGTTCCCTGTGCTAGAGCTTCACAGAGTTGCAGGTGGTTGATTAACTGGTGGTACAAAGGGGGTCTCGGAGTTTCCTTGTTTGTAGCCCCCCCCCCAACCCTACCCTCCTTTCATCCCCAGGCGCCTTCTCTCTGCACACCCTCCACTATTTTGAGACGGCCATCTGGGAGCCGGGCTGGCAGCTGCCCCAGTTCATCTCTTTGGCGTATGTGGACGACCGGCTTATCGGCCGCTACAACAGAGACACCGACCAGTGCGTGCCTCAGTCACCCTGGATAGAGGAGATCGGCCGCGCCGACGCCGACTACTGGGCCAGGTCCATGAAATGGGACTTTGCCTCAAGCCTAGTCGTGGATCTGATGGTTCTGAGGAACATTTACAACCGGAGCAGGGGTGAGTGGAGGGCGGGAGGAGTGGCAAAGCCCTCCGTATCGTCTTTCCTTGCGTGGGAAGGGGGGAGGCTGCGGGGGACCCCTGGGGGAGTGAAAGAAGTCCCACCCAGGAGATAACCTACTTTTTACCTCTACATTTCACATCCTCCCTCCTTTTTTTTATTGCATTTTTCTATAAATGACAACAGAAAAAAAGGAGGGGGAAACGACATCTACGGGAGAAAGGAAAGAAAACCAAACTAAAAACCCAAGTATAGGAGATCATCTCACCAGCTTCTGGAGCTGCGGTGGCTCAAGTGGTTAAGACGCTGAACTGGAGGCTGTGGAAGGTCGGTAGTTCAGCAGTTTGAGACCCGAGTTGCTGCATGACGGAGTGAGCTCCCGTCTCTAGTTTCAGCTCCTGCCAACCTAGCAGTTCAAAAGCAAGAAATTGCAAGGTACCACTTTGGTGGGAAGGTAACAGCGTTCCGTGTGCCTTGGTGTTTAGTCATGCCGGCCACATGACCACGGAAATGTCTTCGGACAGCGCTGGCTCTTTGGCTTTGAAACGGAGATGAGCACCACAACCCTAGAGTCGGACTTGACTGGCTTTCGATCAAGGGAACCTTTACCTTTACTTAAACCAGCTTCTATCAGTGTTAGTCCAAAATGCTATGATTACACTGAACTTAGTCGATCGAGCTATATTATCTATCATTAAAACCATTATTTTAACTGTTTAAAGAAGATCATAACAGCATCATTAACAATTTAAAAAAGCTTTAAGGCACCATTCAGAGTTCTTCAGCCTTCATTTTGTTTTGTCTCTTCTAATCCTTAATTGGTATTCTCGTTTGGGGGCTGCCACCCCCTTTTCGGAGACAGAGTCCTCATCGGAAGTAGCAGAATCCATTTCATCACTAGGTTTGCTGTCTTCTTCTTCCTCCCCCCCCCCCCCCCCCCCTGTGCTTCATGGATTTTCTTAGGTGCTCCTGAGTTATAGAGGCAGATGCCACAAACCTGCCACAGATGGGGGGGCTCCACGTATTCGCACTCTCAGCACCACCAAGCCCCTGACCGGAACACTTTGTGGCACACAACACACAGTTAAGAATCCATGAAAACTGAGCTACCTGTATTGAGCAAAGTGTCCAGTCTTATCTGTTTTGCCAATTTGAAGGTGTCTCCCTTAATAGGCACCTTAAGAATCCCCCAGAACCCTGGAAAATTACGCAGAATTCTGAATGCGAAGGCTAGAGCCGGTGCTGGAGATTGGTCACGAGAGATCGTCTCGTTTGGTGTAGTGGTTAAGTAGAGACCCAGTTTGGTGTAGTGGTTAAGTGTGTGGACTCTAATCTGGGAGAGCCGGGTTTGATTCCCCCACTCCTCCACTTGCACCTGCTGGATGACCTTGGGCAAGCCATAGTCTTGTCAAAGCTGTTCTTGAAAAAGAGCAGTTTCTGCCAGAGCTCTCTCAGCCCCACCGACTTCACAGGGTGTCTGTTGTGGGGAGGGGAAAGGAAAGGAGTTTGTAAGCCGCTCTGAGACTCCTTTGGGTAGTGAAGGGCGGGGTATAAATCCAATCTGTTTGGCGTAGTGGTTAAGTGCACGGACACTAATCTGGGAGAGCCGGGTTTGATTCCCCACTTCTCCACTTGCACCTGCTGGATTACCTTGGGCAAGCCATAATTCTGGCACAGCTGTTAACATAAGAACATAAGAACATAAGAGACGCCAGTGTTGGATCAGGCCAAAGGCCCATCCAGTCCAACACTTTGTGTCACACAGTGGCCAGAAATACCAGTGCCATCAGGAGGTCCAGCAGTGGGGCCAGGACATTAGAAGCCCTCTCACTGTTAGTGAAGGGTGGGGTATAAATCCAATCTCTTCTCTCCTCCTTCTTCTATAGAGTAGTGTTGAGAAGTGCTATAGAGGGAGTTCCAAATACTGAACTGTAAAGATATGCAAATCCAGAGTCTCCTCCAGCGCACTCTTGCGCATACCTGATTGTGTCATGTGCAGGAAGCAGGTGATCTTTTCCTTCCCCCAAGCACCCTCTTTCCACTTCCATTCCTGTTTATTCAGTATTTAATTTATATGCTGCTTTCCAGAGACCGGGGCAAGGCAGCTTACAATTTAACCCAAGCCATTAAAACACAGCCTTTAACAAAACAAGGTGAACCATTAAAATGAGGCATTAAAAAGAGGCCCGGGAACTCTGACCTGGATAGGCCAGGCGAGCCCGATCTCAACAAATCTCAGAAGCTAAGCAGGATCGACTCTGGCAAGTACTTGGATGGGAGGCCTCCTTGGAATACCAGCAATCGGAAGCTGGGGACAGGCTTTATTCAGCCAGCTCTCTGAATAGCCCCCAGGCGGGGGTCAGTCACCAGCAATACTCCCTCTAAGCTGTGGAGTCTTGTGAGCAAAAATTCTACTTTGTGAGCTACTGGCATTAAAGCTGTGAGCATAAAGTAGGTTGCTCTGGAGCCCCATCCTTCCTGAGCTGAGACAAAAATGGGTGAGCCGGAGGCTAAAAATCTGTGAGCTGGCTCACGCTAACTCAGCTTAGAGGGAACACTGGTCACCCGGTGCACATACAGTCAGTCACCAGCAATGTTCCCTCTAAGCTGAGTTAGTGTGAGCTAGCAAACGGTTATTTAGCCTCCAGCTCACAGATTTCTGTGTTGGCCCAGGAAGGAGGGGCTCCGTCCAGAGCCAACTGATTTATGCAGGAGCCAAATCACTCGCCCACCACTTTAATGCCAGCAGCCAGGGGTCATTTCATAGAAAAAGAGGTGCAGGAGCTCATTAGCATAACTTATTTGCATATGGCACACCCCCTGACATCACTGGAAGTGTGTCAGAAGGCAACACCCACCGCTCAGGCTCCACTGGACTGTTTTGGATTGCTAGCTATGGGGGGGGGGGGGGAGACGTGCAGATCTGTCTTTGCAGAGGAGAGAGAGCTTGTACTTGAATAAAACTTGGTCTTAAAGGTGCCACTGGACTGTTTTGGGCCGGGGGGAGCTCTGCAACTTACCTGGCTGCTTCTTGCTCTGACTGAGGACTACTGGGAGCAGGGGGTGGGGCTTGTTGCATGTGCCCACCCCCTGGGCTCTTTACTGCCGGAGCTCCGCTCCCATGCGCTCCTGCAGGAAATGACCTCTGCCAGCAGCTCACACAGTAGAATTTTTGCTCGCGAGACTCCACAGCTTAGAGGGAGCATTGAGGTCGCCATGACTTCCAGGTGCACACACACTCACATATGAAAAATAAAACAAAAAAAGGCCAGGGCATCAAAAGAGCATCAAACACAGACTGAGCAGCAGAAAGACATAACAAGACGCCTTTTGGAATCGGCCAGTCAAAGTAAGAGTTCAACCACTGGAGCAGGGCGAGCTCCCGGCCACACACCCACCCCACCCCGCCCATTCTGAATTTGGCCAGCCTCTCCAGAAAGATGTCGTGGTTGATGGCATCAAAAGCTCCCGAGGGGTTGTCACGGCTCAGGTGGGGTGTCACCTGACACTGCCACCACTCTGGTTCCAGGCTCCCTTGAGAAGGCCCAGAGCACCCTCCCAAGACCTTCAGACCTCCCTTTTGGCCGAATAACAGGCGTGAGGACCAGGCAGAGTGAAACAAGGAAAAGGTTTATTTTACAGAAGGTCAAACAACAAGGTGCAGAATAATAACAGTAAGTGGGTGAAAAGAAAAGAAATCAAATGCCCTAATGCGTCTAAATATATACTGGTGTCCCTAGCTCACTATTCCAAGTGACACTAGACTACTCACCCTTCCTTCAGGATGAGGTTTTCTTCCTGCAGCAGCCTTCCCTTTGGCTCTGCCCTCTGGAAGAAAGAACAGCTTCTGCTCTGGCACCAGCCCTTTTGTTCCCCAGCCCCCTTCTTCCCTATTGGTCAATTTTGGCTCCAAAACCTCTCATGGGCTTCTGGGAGTTGTAGGCCCAGCCTCACCTACTGCTAGCCAGGCTCCCTGGGCCTAGTAGGCCTCTGGTGGCACAGGCCAGATCATGACAGGGGTCCAGGGGAGTCAATAGAATCTCCCAAATAGTTTTGGGCCAGGAAGAGTGTTGTACGCACTGTTGGCTCTGAGGCCTCTGCTTTGTGTGTCTTCTCCAGGGATTCACACCCTCCAGATGCTCTCCGGCTGCGAACTGGATGAGGAGACCCGTGCCACCAGAGGGTTTGCAAAGTACGGCTACAACGGGAGGGACTTCCTCACCCTGGACCCGGAGTGAGGACAGCAGTGAATTCGGAGGCCACGCCCATCAAGAGGAAGTGGGAAGCCGAGCGGCACCGAGGGGAACTCTGGGAGCGTTTCCTGACCGACACCTGTGTGGAGTGGCTGCACACACACCTACGCTATGGGAAAGAGACTCTGCTGGAGGCTGGTGAGGAGGGGAAAGGGGGTGGCAGAGAGAAGGAAGGGGGCAAAGGTGCCATTCCTTGCTGGGAAACCCCCTTAAGCCAACGGTTCCTTGGAAAGCACTCTAGAAACCAACAACAAAACACCTGGAATTCACTGCCACAGGAGGTGGTGGCAGCTACAAGCATGGACGACTTCAAGAGGGAATTGGATAAACATATGGAGCAGAAGTCCATCAGTGGCTATTAGCCACAAGGTATAGATAGGAACTCTCCGTCTGAGGCAAGTGATGCTCTGTGTTCTTGGTGCTTGGGGGGGGGGCAACAGTGGGAGGGCTTCTAGTGTCCTGGCCCCACTGTTGGACCCTCCTCATGGCACCTGATATTTTTGGCCACTGTGTGACAAGAGTATTGGGCTGGATGGGCCATTGGCTTGATCCAACATTGGTTTGTCTTATGTTCACCACTACTCAGGGGGCTTCCTGAGAACATCTAGACTGACCCACTGAGAAGTCACCCATCTAGTGCAGTACTAAACTTAATAACAGAGTAACAGAGTGGAAGATACCTTATAGGAAACTACGCCATGGCCATGCGATCTGGCACGTAGGGAAGAGATTAAGAGAAATATCCCACCTCCGTTTGAAAACGTCCAACGAAGGAGCATCAACCACCCCCGAGGCAGTCTGTTCCACTATATATGATCAAAACTAAAGTACAAAGATGGGTTAGTGGTCATACCCAACAGAATGCCCAGAAGATGCCCACTGTGTAAAGAATAACAGCCGTACATCTCTCCCAGGTATAAATCAAGACATTTCAATGATCTTCAACTGCGGCTGGTAAAAACAGAGCCCGATTTCCAAAATAACATAAGCACAACTCAATAACTTCAATGGAATCTTAGGGTTCTCAGTTTTACTTTCTGTTTAGAGGTCTATGGACATGGTTTATATACGGAATTACAGTGGAGCCTACTGTTGGTTTTGAACACGTTCTTTCTGTAAACAATGTGTAATTGTTATGAGGAATCTGTTGGATATGTGTTTATACATTCTACTAGGAATAAGGCCCATTGTGAAAATAAATACAATGAGTGCTAGAAAGAGGCTCTGGGAGAGTGCCAAGGCCGTGGGCACTCAGAATCAAGTTGCCATGGCAACCTCAGCAGGGTATAAGGACACAGAGTCCACCATTTTCTCCAGGGGAACGGATCGATGCCATCTGGGGAGCAGTTGTAATTCTGAGTGATCTCCAGCCCCCACCTGGAGATTGGCAACAGTGGTTCCCCATTACGGAATGGCTGGTTTGGAGGGCAAAGTCTATGGCATTGTACCTGTCTGAGGCCCCACTCCTCCTCCACCCTCACCCTCTCCAGGCTCCATCTCTCAAATCTCCAGGATTTTCCCATCTGGAGTTGGCAACCCTATCTACTTCCCAGCCAAGCATCAACCTACATTTCCCCCTCATTGATCAGCTTTACATCTCTCTCCCACCAGCAGCCCCCACCGTGCTCTGAAGCCCTGACTGCCACATATCTGTGGCAGTAATAGGGTGACTGCTGGCACCTTTTCCTATCATTTTTTGCCTTGTGGTATTCTGCTTGTGGTGTGATCTGTCTTTTTTGTGGTGTGGCATGATTGTGTTATTGGGTTTGTTTCTTTTGAAGAGGAAGTGATGTGTTGTGAGTGAGGACATATTTTACCTCAGAATACACCAGGTCCCATATGCAAGTGACAGTCCCAACTGTCTTGTGGGGGGGGGGGGTTTGAGGAGCGGAATGGAGTGAAGTCCAATCAGCTTCCATATGCAAATGACCTTGAAATGCTGGCCCAATCAGAGAAGAATGGCCTAGGCTGCAGTGGGTGGGAGAGAACTCAGGCAACACAGCCAGTGGATAGAGACACCTTGTAATTGACACATCATGGAGCCAACTGATTTTGGAGTGCATAGAACGTTGTGGGACCACTACTCAATTATATATAAGGAGAGATTAGGTTTATGACCACTAACCCACCTTTGTACTTTAATGGATGTAATATACAGTTTTGGTCATATATGGTTGTGAATTGTTGATGGTCTTCCCTTCCGATTATGGGCTTCCTGTGTTAGAGGGAACATTGAAGGTGGCTTAATGTGGAACGGGTAGGAAAGCGTTATTCTAATGTAAGGCCAAGATTCCAGATGCTCTAGGTGGCGCTCTTGGGCCATATGGAAGTTTAGGGATTTCTATCGCACTGGGAGCTGCGGTGGCTCAAGTGGTTAAGACACTGAACTGCAGGCTGTGGAAGGTCGGTAGTTCAGCAGTTCGAGACCCAAGTTGCCGCATGACGGAGTGAGCTCCGGTCACTAGTTCCAGCTCCTGCCAACCTAGCAGTTCGAAAGCAAGAAATTGCAAGTAGATAAATAGGTACCACTTCAGTGGGAAGGTAACAGCGTTCCGTGCGCCTTGGTGTTTAGTCATACCGGCCACATGACCACGGAAACGTTTTCGGACAGCGCTGGCTCTTCGGCCTTGAAACGGAGATGAGCACCGCAACCCTAGGGTCAGACTCGACTGGCTTTCGAGCAAGGGAACCTGGGCAGGACCCACTTCATATATCTGGTGGGAGATTATGGTTTTAACTGCTGTTAGTTTACATTACGATAGTTGGTTCATAGATCACCTTTCAGCTCATATTCTCGGGCTCCACAGCCCGCCGGTTGGGAAACGCTGGACTAGGTGACTCCCCCCTTTCCTGCTGCTCATGCTCAACATTTCTCATGTAAGGAAACCGGGGGCGGGGGGGGCACTGTGTTCTTAGGGCCCAATCCTGGTTCTTTTCGCAGAGCCGCCGACGGTTCGTGTGACCCGCTAGGCAGGAGCAGAGGGCCTGGAGACCCTCGTCTGCCGACTCCACGGCTTCTACCCCAAAGAGATTGACGTGACGTGGCGGAACGGCGGGGAGGTCTGGCACCAGGACACCTGGACGGGGGGTGTCGTCCCCAACTCGGATTGGACCTACCACACCTGGATCAGAATTGACGTTGACCCCCAGGAGAGGGACCGCTACCGGTGCCACGTGGAACACGACGGCCTGCCGGAGCCCCTGGACTTGGCCTGGGAGGAGTCTGGTGAGAGACTGAAGGGGGCTGGGGGTGGCTTCTTTGGAGGAAGACAAATTATAGGTGCCTCATGCAGGGAGGAAAGAGGGTGTGAGAGACTCCCCAATGGCACCATGAGTTACCATCTGCTCTGGGGTGCGCCTTGAGGGGACTCCTGATTGGATCTTTGTGAAAACAAAATACAAATTGTATTAAAGTGATTACAACCAGCTAAAATAGATAATATATGATATTAGTACAAACATGGTTAATATTGATAACATATTATACCAAGATGCAATCCAACAGATAAAGAGCGACGATAACTGTATCGACCATAGTATCATATCTTTTGACATATAGACTAACTTGTATTGGTCCTATTCTCTTGAGTTATAAAGATTCATAAAGGTAAGCGTTGAAGTAGAGAGACATATATTAAATAAGACACATATATAAAAATATATATAAATGGGGGGGGGAATACCCAGGTAGGAAACAAACAAATCTCAAATCCATGTGTGAAATTGGGACCACTGAGAGGATATAAATTGCTGCTGCGATAAGTACTCTAAGATTGGAAACCATTTTTCCAGAAATAGCGAGTGATTTGTGCCATGAGACTTGTGAGGCAGTTTGTTAGCAGTTGCATCCATAAGATAATGATTCCATAACTTGATGAAGATACTCTTAATCAGCCAGTCAGAGGGAAGCTTCCGGGACCCCGAACTATGGACTCCAATTCCCAGGTGACACTACTCTTAAAGGTACATTAACGCTGGCTGGGGGCAGCACAAGGATCTTCCAGACAAGATAGATACTCATGAAGGGAAGAGCCCGATAAAAGCTCCAAACGCACAGAGGGACAATGTCCTGAGGGCAGACTTTTCACTTCTTGTAACTCAATGTCAATAATCCACAAGAATAACACACAATCCCAAGACAGTCTGGAATGAAAAAATATACAAAGATGTGTGCTTAGATGCCCACAGAATGAATGCAATAACAAAAGAGACTAGATGAAAGCCATGACATCATTTAGTGTCTGATAATAAAAAAAGAACAACCACTCATCCCTTCATAGAAAAAATACAAAGGTCAATAAAAACACACATAGCAGTCTGCTCCGGACTCTCTCGGTCTATATCCCTCAAACAGTCCTGTATTCTCTTTTTAAAAAATAATTCTTTATTGTTTAATTTCATAAAACATTCCATCACCAACACCACCCATGTGCGACCTCCAGGCAATAGATACATAAATAAAATTCCATACAGTATTATATCACAATCAATCCAAGTACAACTCTATTGCTCTATTAAACTTCCATCTTAGTCTTATAATCAAATTAACCTCTCAATTTCCTATTAACTGACTAATCATCCCCATTTTTTTAAACTTTTCCAAATACCCCGCCATCCTTCTAAACCAGTCCTCCTCCTGTTCACTAACCTTTAACCCATTTATTCTATGTATCTTCATCGTAAGATACTCCAAGGCCCCTGCCACACGCAGGGGAAAAGGCGCGGCTTTTAAAAGCCGCGCCAATGTTGACACGGCGCGGCGGGATCTCACAGATCCCCCGGCCGCGCTGCCTTTTCTCCCCGTCGCGATCAAACGCCGGGGAGAAAACACGCCCTACTCGGGGGCCGGCCGAACTGCGCATGTCCGGGCATGCGCAGTTCGGATCCGGGCCGGGGTTGAGCCGGCGCAGGGAAGCGGCGGCGATCAAACGCCCCGTTGCCGTGCCGCTTCCCTTTAAACCACCTAGATAGGTGGTTTAGTTTGCGCCGGCGTATCCCGGGAAAGGGACAGTTCGGCCACGGAAGCAAGACGCTTCCCAGATGTGGTGGTGTGATCGCGCCGGTTTGATCCGGCCCCGAACTGTCCCGCTCCCGGACCAAATAGCCGCGTGTGAACAGGACCTAAGATTATTATATTATTCATGTTATCCCTCCAATGATTAATTGTCACTTCCTCGGCTTCTTTCCGATTCCTTGCTGTCACTTGTCTTGCTGCTACTAGCATCAAATGAATCCATTTACATTCCTCTTTTAACCTTGACCCTTGTTGGATCCCCAAGCATCGAGAATAAATCCACGTTTTCAAGAAAAGCAAAATTTATTTCAAAGCGTTGAAGAGATACTCAAACACGTTCTTTGTTAGAACTGGGGATACACAGGTAGGGCAAGCATAATAAAGGAAATTCAAACAGATACATATCCAATGAATAACATTCCCGCTGGCGGGCTAATACAACGGTTGCGCGCCCATTCCATGGGAACCAGGCAGAACATCAGACAAAACACAGGTGCAGGTCTCATGAGATAAGCAATAGGCAAGCATTACAGCATCTTCTCCCCCACACATCCACCAGTAGTTATCTTATGCATTCCAGCACAGGAGCAGGATGGTAGAAACAAGCCGGGTGCAACAGGGTAAGGATATGTACACAGAGGTCACACAAAACAGAATGGCAGCTTGCTGACATACTGCCCCCCTTAAAATACATCTTAAAACACCTCCCGGGTCGGGCGGGAGATCTCCCGGGCTGGGCGGGAGACCTCCCGGTTTGTCCGGGAACCTCTTGTGGAAACTACGGATCAGGTAAGGGGCCCGAATATCCCCTTCTTCCACCCATTCCCGGTGCTGGGGACCGAAATCAACCCATTCGACAAGGTACCAGAGTTTACCACGTTTCACTTTACAATCAAGGATATCAGCGATCTCAAAATGTTCATCCCCTTCCAAAATGACAGGTGGAGGAGGGGTAACTGATGGTCTCCAGGGAGACGGACCAGGATCCTTCTTCAACAGGCTCATGTGAAAAACGGAATGCAGAGCACGTAAATTCTTAGGCAAAACAACATCAACCGCCACTTCATTTATGACTTTACGCACTTTGAATGGACCAATGAACTTCCACCCCAATTTCCTGCTAGGTCGCAGCATTTTAATGTTCTTGGTCGAGACATACACAAGGTCCCCAGGTTTCAGATCAAACCCCACCACCCTACCCTTGTCTGCCTGGGCCTTGTAAGCAGCCTTGGCTGCGTCAAGCGTTTGGCATAGCAGAGGCCATGCATTCTGCAAGGAAGTACACCAAGTATTAGCATCCCCAACGGGACGCTGGCCCATCCCCTCCAGGAAAGGGAGGGGGGGGCTGTCGTAACCAGAGACAGCTTTATAAGGAGACATGCCCGTGGAGCTATGGACAGTATTGTTATAACAATATTCAGAAAGAGGCAACAATTCACACCAATCATTCTGTTGATAATTAGTAAAACAACGAAGATATTGCTCCAGGGTCTGATTAACTCGTTCTGTTTGTCCGTCAGTCTCAGGATGATACGCGCTGCTGAGCCCTTGTTCCACCCCTAAAATGGAAAGAAGTTCCCTCCAAAACTTAGAAACAAATTGGGTCCCCCTGTCAGAAATTAATTTAGCAGGTAATTGATGAATTTTCACCACGTGAGACATAAACGATTTCGCCAACCTCTGAGCTGTAGGCAAGGAAGGAAAAGGCACAAAATGAGCCTGCTTAGAAAATAAATCAACAACCACCCAAATAACAGTGTTCCCTTTGCTCACAGGGAGGTCAGTAATAAAGTCCATGGACACCACTTCCCAAGGTCTCGATGGAGTAGGGAGTGGCTGCAGAAGACCGGGAGGCTTGCCCCCCCTGGGTTTAGTCAAGGCGCAGGTCTGACAGGACTGAACAAAAGTCAATAGGTCTTTGCGCATGTGTGGCCACCAAAACTGTCTGCGGATAAGTTGCAGTGACTTAACAAAACTCCAATGTCCTGCCAGTCTGGAACCATGAGCAGAATCCATCACTTCCCTCCTCATTGAAATAGGCACATACAGTTTGTCCCCAGAATAAATCAGACCTTCTGGGCTACGGACACAGTCCGGCAACGCTAGATGAGTTGCAGTGACTTAACAAAACTCCAATGTCCTGCCAGTTTGGAACCATGAGCAGAATCCATCACCTCCCTCCTCATTGAAATAGGCACATACAGTT